CTGAACGGGAAAAAAAAAAACCACACATTTCATGTGTGCCCACCATTAGAAGTGGGTGGATACAGGCGGTATATTCTAATGGTGGGCATACCACACACTTTTTCATGCAGAGATTTCTTCTCTTTTTTCATTCAGCCCACAGGCTGCATAAAAAAAAGATCGTAGTATATATATATATATATAAGCAGCGTCGTACTGGTACATCATGGGATTTTGAGTGGTTATACCAGGATGAAAAGAAGAGTGCATGGAAATAAAAAGAAGAGTGCATGGAGTAAATTATACATTTAATCACTGCAATTTTGTAAACTGCACACTGTTCTGAGTGGTAAAACTAGGAACTAAACATCAACATAATAAAGAACAGATCTTTAAAAGGAGGGGGGAACAAAAACACCCCAATCAAGTACAAGCACAATTAGAAAAAATATACCTCCACAGGAAAAAAAAATCCTTAGGGTCATACCCCTGAGAGACAGCAGGGAGAAAAGGGAAGATACGAATTGGGAAACAACAAAGGGAGATCAATCTAGACTGTCATCAGGAATATTGAGCATGAACCAGACTAATGAATCCTCAAATATAGAAAGTGAAGTAGAAATAGAAATTACAGAAGAACAAGGAACAAACTTGCAAATGACCACGAAAATGGAAATTGCAGTGATGTTTGCAAAATTAGAACACTCTATAAAATATGAAATGGCTATACATAATGACTTGGGACAAGTTCTAACATGAGTGGAGGAAACAGAGGAAAAAAAATAGAGAAACATGCTCAAGTAATTACTAAGCTGGAAAGACAGGTGGAAGAAATGTGAAGAGGAAGCTAACATACAAGTTGGATGATCAAGAGAACAGAGATAGAAGGAACAAGAGGTTTCTAATGGAAAAGATTTGACCGGTAGACCAGTGACAGCCCAACTGAAAATAGGGAGATTACATAGGAGCAGACAACCCCAAGGAATGCCATTGGAAACCCCTAGGGACATGATTGTATGATTTCATCATTATGAAGATAAAGCTAATATCTGGAAGAAGATCCAAGGGATTTCTGCAATAAAACACGGAGAAACAAATCTACACATTTTTGCAGATTTAGCACCAGAGACATTGGCCAGAAGGAGATCTTTGAAACCATTACTGGAACAGATGTACAATAAAAAGGCCCGATACAATTGGGGGTTTCCAGCATGCTTGGTCAGTTGGAAAGATGGACACTCTGCGAGATTGAGATTCCCAGAAGATTTACCGAACTTCTGTGAAAGACTAGATTTATAGATATTGGACATACCGGGATGGTCTGAAGATGCTGCGGAGAGTATAGCGCTAGGAAAAGAGAAGTGGCAATTAGTTTCCAAAAAGAGAGTGAACTAGGAATAGGTTGGTAGGGGGGTGGGGTGGGGGTCAAGGGAAGAATTTCATGGAAGATAAGTAGAGAGTTTCTCTAAAATGGCGGGGTATCAGGAGGTTTTAACAGGTACTGATTTTGGGACCCAAAGATTGGAGATGGGGATTCGGTTAGGTGTACGTGAGCGGAGTCCCACCCTGGAAGAGGAGTCAACAGTGGGACCAGAACCACATCTGACTCCAGGGCTAGAAATAGGCGAAGGGGTTTCAAGTGTGGGGGGGGTGGAGCAGGGGTGGACTGACAACTCATGGGGCCCCTGGGCAATAGGGGATCATGGAGCCCCTGTGTCCTCGCCCACACCCAAAAAAGCCTATGAAAAAGCCAATGAAAGGTACCAGGGGCATCTCATGGGGCCCCCGGGCAATAGGGGATCATGGGGCCCCTGTGTCCTCACCCACACCCAAAAAAGCCTATGAAAAAGCCAATGAAAGGTACCAGGGACATCTCATGAGGCCCCCTACAGAGCCTGAGCCCTCGGGCACTTCCCGAGTACTCGAATGGTCAGTCCGCCCCTGGGGTGGAGGGAATATGGAGGAGGGGGAGGGGGAAGGGGAGGGTTGTGGATGGGAGGAATGGGCAATATAGAATATTTCAAAGATATTTACTTGCTCCAAATCATAAATACAAGCACTCCATTAAGTTGAAATGGTAGTAGGAATGAATGTATTTAACTTCATGACCTATAATGTGAAAGGATTGAATACTCTGGTGAAAAGGCATAATATTCTTGGGAAAAATACATCAACTTTCTATAGAAATAGTCTTTTTACAAGAGACACATATCTCAAGATACAAATATCAAGTTATATCTCAAATATTACCCAACTTGGAACTATGCTGTGTCACCGATGAAACAGGCAAAAGGAGTAGCAATTGGGTTCACAAAGACTGTAAAATTTAGTTGGGAGGAGAGATTGGTTAACCCAGAGGGTTGGTTTTTGCTCTTGAGAGGGGAACTTCAGGGAATAGAGTGCACACTGGCAAATATTTATTGCCCTAATAAAAATCCAATAGCATACCTTGTGGAAATGCTAAGAAAACTTATGGATTTTAAGAGGGGTAAGCTGATTGTGGCAAGAGATTTTAACTTTTGCATGGATCCGTGGTTGGATACATCATCACGTTCGCCGAGAGATGGAGATATAAACTTAAAGTCTGTTATAACGATGTTATATCAATGTCAATTGATAGAGTCCTGGAGAATGAATCATCCAAGAAAAATGGATGATATGTTCTTTTCTGCTGCGCATGGGATGTACTCAAGATTGAACTACATAATGATAGAACATAGACTCTTGGAGTTTTTGGTAAAATCTAAAATTGAGATAATGTCAATCTAAGATCATGCACCTGTCACAATTAGATTACAATTAGGAGGGGAGAGAAATAGAATAAATATGTGGAAATTAAATGAGATAAGATCCTACAGGAACCAGAGATGGAAGTAAGAGTAAGGAGGTAAATAGAAATACTGTTTTTTATCTAATGAGACTGATGGGGTATCGGTTGCAACAGTTTGGGAAGCACATAAGGCAGGGCATAAAAATTTCGAGACCTACTAGCCAGGCACAAACCTTTCTTTCCACCAGTTTGCCCACACCAACCTTGTCCAGGTCCGCCTCCAACCCCACCCCCGGCCCCCCACCCCCACCCCCAGCCCTGCCACCAACCATGCCGCCTTAAAGCCTATGAAATTACATTTTTCTTTAGAATAAAGAGTCCAAAATATAAAACTGTCTACAGTAATGTACAGTTGCAAGAAAAAGTATGTGAACCCCTTGGGATTACATGGAGTTTTGCATGAATTGGGCATAAAATGTGCTCTGAATGTCATCTAAGTCACAACAATAGAAGAACACAATCTGCTGAACATAATACTACACAAACATTAGATGTTGCCATGGTTTAATTGCACATAACATGTAAACATTCACAGTGCAGGGAGGAAAAAGTATGTGAACCTTTGGACTTAATAACTGGTTGACCCTCCTTTGGCAGCAATAACCTCAACCAAACGTTTCCTGTAGTTGCAGATCAGACCTGCACAAAGATCTGGAGTAATTTTGGACCACTCCTCTTCACAAAACTGTTTCAGTGTAGCAATATTCTTGGGATGTCTGGTGTGAATCGCTCTCTTAAGGTTATGCCACAGCATTTCAATCGGGTTGAGGTCAGGACTCTGACTGGGCCACTCCAGAAGGCGTATTCTGTGCTGTTGCAGCCATTGTTTTGTTGAATGACTTGTATGCTTTGGGTCATTGTCCTGTTGCATCACCCATCCTCTGCGGAGCTTCAGTTGGAGGACAGATGGTCGTACGTTTTCCTGCAAAATGTCTTGATAAACTCTGGAATTCATTTTCCCATCAATGACAACAATCCGTCCAGGCCCTGAGGCAGCAAAGCAGCCGCAAACCATGATGCTCCCTCCACCATGTTTTACAGTGGGGATGAGGTTTTGATGTTGGTGTGCTGTGCCTTTTTTTCTCCACACATAGTGTTGTGTGTTCTTCCCAAACAATTCAATCTCGGTTTCATCTGTCCACAGTATATTTTGCCAGTAGTGCTGTGGAACATCCAGGTGCTCTTTTGCAAACTTCAAACGTGCTGCAATATTCTTTTTGGACAGCAATGGCTTCCTCCGTGGTGTCCTCCCATGTACTCCATTCTTGTTTAATGTTTTCCTTATTGTAGATGTGTCAACAAAAATGTTAGCATGTGCCAGAGATTTCTGTAGGTCTTTAGCTGACACTCTGGGATTTCTTCTTTACCTCATGCAGCATTCTGCGCTGTGCTCTTGCAGTCATTTTTACAGGACGACCAAGCCTAGGGAGAGTAGCAACAGTGCTAAACTTTCTCCATTTGTAGACAGTCTGTCTTATTGTGGACACATGAACATCAAGGCTTTTGGAGATACTTTTGTAACCCTTTCCAGCTTCATGCAAGTCAACAATTCTTGATCGTAGGTCTTCTGAGAGCTCTTTTCTGCGAGACATGGTTCACATCAGACAGTGCTTCTTGAAACCAGTAAACCCAAAACCGGTGTGTGTTTTTTAAGGGCAGGACAGCTGTCAGCAACATATCCAATATCATCACACTGATTGGAGTCAAGGTTGGCTCACTCCTGGCTCCAATTAGCTTTGGGAGAAGTCATTAAGCTAGGGCTTCACATACTTTTTCCTCCCTGCACTGTGAATGTTTACATGTTATGTGCAATTAAACCATGGCAACATCTAATGTTTGTGTAGTATTAGGTTCAGCAGACTGTGTTCTTCTATTGTTGTGACTTAGATGACGTTCAGAGCACATTTTATGCCCAATTCATGCAAAACTCCACGTAATCCCAAGGGGGTTCACATACTTTTTCTTGCAACTGTATATCCCAGCTCCCCTGAACCCCATTATAGTGATATGACATGTATACAGTAATCATTACTATATACATGTCATATCACTATAATGGAGTACAGGGGAGCTGGGATATACATTACTGTATACATGTCCTATCACTATAATGGGGTACAGGGGAGCTGGGATATACATTAATCAGTAATGTATATCCCAGCTCCCCTGTACTCCATTATAGTGATAGGACATGTATACAGTAATGTATATCCCAGCTCCCCTGTACTCCATTATAGTGATATGACATGTATACAGTAATGTATATCCCAGCTCCCCTGTACTCCATTATAGTGATATGACATGTACACAGTATGTATATCCCAGCTCCCCTGTACTCCATTATAGTGATGTGACATGTACACAGTAATGTATATCCCAGCTCCCCTGTACTCCATTATAGTGATATGACATGTATACAGTAATGTATATCCCAGCTCCCCTGTACTCCATTATAGTGATATGACATGTACACAGTAATGTATATCCCAGCTCCCCTGTACTCCATTATAGTGATATGACATGTATACAGTAATCATTACTGTATACATGTCATATCACTATAATGAAGTACAGTTGAGCTGGGATATACATTACTGAGTAATATATATCCCAGCTCCCCTGTACTCCATTATAGTGATATGACATGTATACAGTACTTACTCCTTGAGGCCCCCGCGGCAGTGGAGAGGGTGTCTCCTCTCAGCGGAGGAGAGCGGACCTCTCCTGCACCTGTCCCCTCAGCGACGGTGCCGACGAAGCCGGAAACCGGAACTCGGCTTCGCAATGAGGCTTGGAGCGCAGCCGCTCCATCATCTGTGCTTGCCGCTAGAGAATTTCTCCTCTCATTTGGCGAGCAGACGAGCGGCTTTTTCAAGCCCTGACATAAGGCATATATTAATGGAATGTTGATTTCTATAGGGGCCAAAAAAAAGAATGAACGAGAGAAGAAAATAAGATTATTAACTTAGGAACTATATAATTTAGAACAAATACATAAAAAGAAAATAGAAAACGATATACAGCAGAAAATAACCCAAAAAAGAGAAGATTTCAAGGACCTAATGGAACAAGAAATGCGAAGAACTTTTAATAGGGTAGCAAAGGAGAGATATCAGTGAGGGAATAGACCAGGAAAATCTTTAGTGAGAAGATTAAGAGAAAAGGAAGCAAGGAATTAAATAGAGAAAATTAAAGATGAGAAAGGAGAAATGGTCTATTCAACCACTGATATCACCAACACATTTCATAAATATTATAGTGGATTATACGAGGTAAAACCTAAGAACTTGAAAGAAGTGGAGGGAGCAGAGGAAAGAAAAAAAAAGGCAGGAATGTTTAGAGAAGGCCAGATTGCCAAACTTAGAATGAGAAAGATTAGCAGCCTTAGAAAAACCAATATCACAGGAAGAAATTCATATTGCATTGAAGAGTACAGAAGCAGGAAGAAGCCCTGGACCAGATGGGTATACAGAGATATTATAAGAAATTTAAACAATTAGTTCCCAAACTGTATAGTTACATGAATGCATTAGGAGAGGGGATGGAAATGAGAGAGTTGTTGCAGTCATATATTACAATTATACCCAAAGAGGGAAAAGATTGGTCCCAATGTGCCAGTTATAGACTTATCATTACTAAATGTAGGTACAAAATTATATGCAATGGTTCTAGCAACTAGGTTGAAAGATTTAATACCTAGTTGGAATGGATACAGTTAGATCAAGTGGGATTCCTCCCACACAGAGAAGGGAGGGACAAACCAAAAAAATATACACTTATTGGGATTTTTTTTTTTACCAAAGACATATAGCAAAATACATTTTTGCCAAAATGTATGGCGAATTGTGAGTTTATAGAATTTGTTTAGAACAGAAATGAGAAAATATAGTTATTTTCAACACTTTTGGCTTTTTTTGTTTACAGCACAAAAATAAAAAACCCAGAGGTGATCAAATACCATCAAAAGAAAACTCCATTTGTGTGGAAAAAAAGGACATAAATTTTGTTTGGGTACAGCATTGCATGACCGTGCAATTACCAGTTGAAATAGCGCAGAGAGGTAGCGCAAACAAATTCCCTGGTCAGGTAAATCCTCTGGAGGGCAAGTGGTTAACAGGAGTCTATCTAACGATCAACTTCTTTAGAACAGGGATGGCTAAATACAAAATTTGATTGTTCCCTGCTGAACTGGCTGGATTTCAATCAGTGTATGGTCTGCTTTAGAAACATTTATTTTGTACATAAAAAATACAGGAAAATACAGATGTTATCAACTTGACAGACATGAGTAGCAATGGGTGCTAAATAATTTAGGATACATACACAGGGATCACTGTCTATGTCAGACAGAGGAACTGTCCTGGGAGCATTTTAGGCTGATAACATCTGTACCTCTTTGTAGTTCAATGTATAAAATACATGTTTTTTACTTTCAGTTCATATTGCCTAAAGAAGATGCAAGTGTGCTTCCAAAGGTTGCACTACAATCTACTGTATTTAGTTGGTGAATAAATGGTATCACCATGAACCCAAATGTCAACTTTTGTTGATGGCTAACTTGATACAACATTCTGCAGCTGTCACATCCAAGGACAATATAATGTGCTGCAGTCTTTGGTCTAATACAGAATTGACGACAATATAATTCACCTCAGTTACACTCTCCTGGATATCTCTTTGACCTTAAATCTAGTACTTCTACTTTCATTACAATATACTAAAAATCGAGGATTGGAAAAAGAACAACAAAATATAATAGGATAGCTGATTAGGTAGAATTACCAGCTGGACAGTTTTCTTTCAATGTATTGAGACGGCACTATTAAATTCAAAAGTACATTCAGAACCTGTGTAAAAGATTACTGCATCAGCCTTGCCTTTTGACTCTATACCAGAAATGTGCAGAATTTCCTCTACTGAGGTAGGAACATGTGCTGGGAAAATATGAGTACAGGTCCTTGTCAGGCAAGTAGCTTCTGCATCCGGTATGCAAGTACATCTAAAAGGAAAAAAGTATCAGTAAAATAAGATTTTGAATAATGACAAAGCAGAAGTAGAATTCCAGCCTAACATTAGGTATGCTTAAAAATGTCCCCTGCACCTCCTCCGCCCACCCACCCATACCGCTACCTATCCTGTAAGGTTAAGATACCAAGTCCACTTGAGTACCGGGAAAACACTGCAGGCATTTTTCATGATGAAAAAAGGCTCTGGACAGCATTTGGAAATAGAAGAGTTAGAAAATTTTTCAAACACTTATAAACGTGGTTAGCCGCATTTAGCTGCCTTTACACGCGCTTACAAGTGTTTGGCATTTGATATGCTGATAAAATCTACTTCTGAACACGTTTTCTGCATTCAAAAAACCGACTGTAAACTCAACTGCTTGTAAATGTGTACATGGAAACATAGGAAAACATTAGGGGGAGTTCAGAGGCTGCTGAAAAAAACGCTGATGACAAAGTAGAATTCCAGCCTAACATTAGGTATGCTTAAAAATATCCCCTACACCATCCCGCCCAAAATCCCCCACACACACACACACATACCGCTAACTATTCTGTGTAAAAAAAAAAAAGATGTGTATTCTTACCTATTTTTAGTCTACTCTGGTCGAGTCACGTGATTTAGCAGCCCTGGTTCCCCTGTGTCAGTGAGAGGAAGCTACAGAGAAGAAGATGGCATGCTTGACAATGGCTGGCAATTACAGGAGCTGAGATGTCACCCATAAGTGCCCAGATCCCAGCCTTTGTCAGTGATCCCCTGCAACCGCTGCTCACTGCCATAAGGGAGCCTAAGCTGCAGGATCATGTGACCAGACTGGAATAAGAATAGGTAAGTATACAGACCTTTCTTTACACCGGTTAGGCAAGATAGGTAGCAGGAGGGAGTAGGGGACATTTTTAAGGATAGTTAAGAGTTAGGCTTTAAATGATTGCTTACAAACTAATTCAGATTTATGTGCTCTATGCCACAAAATTTAATTGCCTTTTGGTAAACATTATAATCAAGTTCAAGATAAAGTTGCAAGTGTTGCAACTTGAAGAGATGTGATTTGCCTGAAAAGTGTATAGATCACAAGTTTGCTCTGAAATAACTCATAACTAAGGTTTTGATGTGAAATATTTCAATTACCATATTAGCAAACAGTTGCAGCTAGTTGACCAAATGGAAAAGTATAAAAAAAAACCTGAACTTTGTAGAGAAGAGAAATACCTTGTTGCAAGTAGCAAGTGTTGCAATTAGCAACATGTGGATGTCAGCTACCTTTGAAGCTGTACTTCACAGCCCCTGGAAATGTGCCCAGTTCTTGCCTTTTTGAATTGCATGAATCTAAATAATTGTATTCGTCATATAAACATGACATCAAAAGTTTTAAATTATTTCTTTAAACTGTTTACAGTGCTCTGGTCTAAACGGATATTGAATTGAGATGAGAGACTGTTAAAAACACTAAATATATTCAAGCAATAATTTTATCTAATAGGAAAGAAGCAAATATGCAAACTCAAAACTCTGGAGGATCTGATCTGTTAACGCTCTGTAAAAGATTGAATAATAACAAAAAAATGTTTTTTTTCTAACCTACTTAGCTTTGACTAGCAGAGAAACCTAAAACTCAAATGTATACACCACAAGCCAATAGAGACACAACAAATATTAAAGTTTAACTCCAGGCAAACAGCAAAATATTTGATTAATATGCATTTATGTTTATTGTTTTACCTACCAAAGGAATTGTAATTTTGGAGAACCATTCTTGTGATATGCACTGCTTTACATGTCTGTGAGGAATCTCTACTAGTTCTTGGTTTACTGTTTTCTGTGTCAGATAACTGCTCATAGGACAGAGGTAAATAACTCATTCATTGTGCTGTGCAGGAGGCTTTATCAGGAACTACACATGGCACATGTCTGTATTTTAGTGTGTAGATTACAAGACTGGATGAACAGAATTACAGATTTTCTAACAAGTAGCGCAGTAAACCTTAGTATAGTTCAGCTGTGTTTCAGCTGTATTTCAACAATATTTTCTGCTTGCCCAAAATTTTGGTTTAAGCATTTGATTTATTCTGTCAATGGAGTATATCAAAACTGGAGCAGACAGAATCTGAAGCAGCTGTGCATGGCAACCAGCCAGCTTCTATCAGTTTGTTCAGTAAACCTTTGAAAATGAAAGATACAGTCAGGTCCATAAATATTGGGACATCAACACAATTCTAAACATTTTTGGCTCTATACACCACCACAATGGATTTGAAATGAAACGAACAAGATGTGCTTTAACTGCAAACTGTCAGCTTTAATTTGAGAGTATTTACATCCAAATCAGGTGAACGGTGTAGGAATTAAAACAGTTTGCATATGTGCCTCCCACTTGTTAAGGGACCAAAAGTAATGGGACAGAATAATCATAAATCAAACTTTCACTTTTTAATACTTAGTTGCAAATCCTTTGCAGTCAATTACAGCCTGAAGTCTGTAACGCATAGACATCAGCAGACGCTGGGTTTCATCCCTGGTGATGCTCTACCAGGCCTCTACTGCAACTGTTTTCAGTTCCTGCTTGTTCTTCGGGCATTTTCCCTTCAGTTTTGTCTTCAGCAAGTGAAATGCATGCTCAATCAGATTCAGGTCAGGTGATTGACTTGGCAATTGCATAACATTCCATTTCTTTACCTTAAAAAACTCTTTGGTTGCTTTTGCAGTATGCTTTGGGTCATTGTCCATCTGCACTGTGAAACGGCGTCCAATGAGTTCTGAAGCGTTTGGCTGAATATGAGCAGATAATATTGCCCGAAACACTTCAGAATTCATCCTGCTGCTTTTGTCAGCAGTCACATCATCAATAAATACAAGAGAACCAGTTCCATTGGCAG